AAATTAACCAACGAGCTGTTGAAGTTATAATGGCTTCAATACCAAAAAAGTTCAACCAGAATTAAAAGTCTATTTTTTATTTTTATTTTATTTTTTTCTTTCTTCTTTAAACTGTTGTGTATGTACATGCATGTGCATGTGTATATATGTATAGAAAAAAGGATGCCAGTAAGGAAAGTAATTTGGTTTCTTTGATAAGAAAAAAGTAGGGTTCATTTATAGTGTTCTATGTTTGTAAGAGAAAAAAAAAGTCCAGAAAAATCTGGCAAAAAAGATTAGAATTGTCTACGTTCTTAATCAAAGTACTATATATTTATATAAACCCAGGGCTTTGCTTCAATAAAGTCAATTAAGGTATAAATAGAAAAGCCTTTTTTTAATCTTTATCTGGTTTAACGTAGAGATGTGATCCATAATCTACAATTAACATAAATAAACTATAGTTGCTCTAAAATTGTAGCTAACTGTAATTTTAAAATAAACTAGTTTATTATATTAACTATAAGTTTAACATATGTATAAAATGTTCAAGAATCTACCTGCAGGTTAAGAGTAACCTGAGACTTAATTCATATAAATTTTATTAAACCTATAAGAAAATTTATCAAGATTGAAAGTTACAACTTACTATCTTATAATTATTAACAAATATAATAATTGTTCTTGCTCACCTTAATACCAAAAAAAAAAATAATAATTGTTCTTGCAAAAAAGATTCTAAACATTTAAAAATGAAAAAGAAAAACAAGCCTTGCTTGAAAAGTACTACGAAGGATATAAATTAATATTATTAATAACATTTTAGTATGGTTATTATTTGGGCTAGATGTTACAAAAAGGAGAAAATTGACAAATTTTTTAACATTAATTTTTTACTAACCTAGGATTATTTTCACTAAGACACAAAAGCAGTTATATTAATAAAATTTTGCAATAGCGCTTCAAAATTTGCAATTTTTTATAATATAAAAATTGACTTTCTAATCTTTTTTGTTGAGTTTCTCCTTTTTACAGCACTCGGCCTATCTGTATGAAGGTATAGAGATTCAATAGAAAAGTTAGCTAAAAATTTAGCATATCTGTAAACATTACAATAGATTTAATTTCCAAAACTTGATGCTGTAGGAGAGGTTTCGATGAAAAGTTTTTTTAAATTAATAGAATTTAATTAGGTGTATATTTTCAAAGTGTTGATCCCATAATTGAAGATACCTCTGCAAACATCCTTCATCTGTTTTTGCAATTTCTCTAATGATACTTGAATTGAGTCCTCATTAAAATATTTTTCGATCGATTGTGAATATATTCTAAGTAGATCATTTGTTTTTGATGCAAAATTTGTCTTTTTATGTTTCTTAGTTTATTCAATCCCTCTGCATAATCTGATGGTGATTTAAAACTTTTGCTACTTGTAATTCTAAAAAAAATTATGAATAATTAAATATTTAAATTATTATAAAATGCATCTATGGTTTTTATATGTTTTTATTAAATTTTCTAAGTCTTTTATAAGTTTTGTATATAAAATTTTTAATCGAATTTTTTATATTAGGGAGTGTAGAACATTTTTACTTAGAACACCTCACACTGATTAATTAAGATAAATTATACATAGGTACATTTTAGTAAAATCTAAATAAAATTTAAAACATACCATTAAATATTGAAGTTGTGTAATTCACAAAGTGTTCCTAGATCCTAAAAATTCAGTATAAATGAAAGAGGTTCATCTTAAATTATGAATAATTTTTAATACTTGTAATGCTCAGTTGTAATCTTGGTATTCCCTTTTATTGATAAATGAATCAGAAAATACCAATATTAAAAAACACAATATCATAGAACTCAAACTAATGAGCTTTGTAAGATATTATAAATTTAATTAAACCCTTCAACAAAAGAACATTAAATTCTTTGTGATAAGATTTATTCACTTTATTGTTTATTTCTAGAATCATTTTTTTATATTAAGAAAAAAAAAAGATCCAAAAAGATCAAATTCAGTTAACCAACGATCTGTTGAAGCTGTAGCAGCTTCAGAGCCGATGTCCTGCTCAAGAAGGTTACTTACTGCCAGTGGTTTTGTGGTTCAAAAAAAAACTTGCTCAAAAAAAGGTATTACAAATTTACCAACAGCCGTAAATATACTTTAATCATTGGGATGACATTATGTCAGGTATCTCACCCTCAAATATTGAAGTGCCCTAATTTCACCCACCACTTCTGATTGGCTGTACTAATTATTTATTTATCGGAGCCAATCCAATTTCACGATCAGGTGTAACGTAAAAGAAACGCAAAAAAAAA